CATAGCTCACAGCAACCTCAAACTCCTGGGCTCAACGATCCTCCTGCCTCAGCCTCCCGAGTAGCTGGGACTACAGGCATGTGCCACCATGCCTGGCTAATTTTGTTTTTGTTTTTGTAGAGATGGGGTCTTGCTATGTTTCTCAGGTTGGTTTCAAACTCCTGGCCCCAAGCAATCCTCCTGCCTCAGCCTCCCAAAGTGTTAGGATTACAGGTGTGAGTCACCATGCCCAGCCCAGCTTTGTTTAGTCGTACTTGCAGTTTTACCAAGCACATTTAATTAACAATATCAACTTCTAACCAATATCTTTATACCTACCCTCCTTAACCCCCCCAAATTAGAACACTGAGGCTCCAGTCCTTCCCCACCTGACTTACATACTGCTGTTGTCCAACATTTCAGATCTGTTCTTAACATCGCAAATGAAATCAATATTTTATACAGATGGTCTTTGAATTAGCTCGACCTACTTACCATTTCATAGGCTCGCCATTCATTCTCACATCTCAGGCTGACTACTGAAATCATTTTCCTTCTTGGAAGTTTCTTTGGGTCATTCTCAGCTTTTATTTACCTGTAAATGCGAAATGTATTTTTTTTTCCTCTTGATTCTTGACAGGTGCTTTTCCTGGACATAATCCTATAATAAGTTGACATTTATTTGCTCTCGTCATTTTAAAGATATTATTCCAGTCTCTTAGCTCCCGTCGCGGTTGTCGCGAAGTCAGCTCACGTCCTGCTGTTCCTTTGTAGATCATCCATCTCCCGTCTCTGACTTTCATCATTCTCTGCCTTTGGCCTTCTGTAGTTTCCAGGAAATGTGTATACGCATGGATTTATTGTTATTTATTATGCTTGCGATGTTTTGTGTGTCCTGGTTCTAATGATCTGGTTTTCATCACTTCTAGAAAATTTGCAGCCATTTTTGTTTTCAAATACTCCCTCTTTTCCTTCCCCTTTTTTTTTTTTCTGGGACTCCAATATACAAGGTCTTCTCATTCTGTTCTTTATATCACTTGATCTCTTTTCACGTTGGCCACCATTTTATCTCTCTTTGCTGCGTTCTTTATATCTAACGTCTGCCTTACTATTAATAATTCTCTGGTCAACTGTTTATTGTTTTTTGAATTTTAGATTTTGAGATAATATTTTTTATTTCTAGAAGTTTCATTTGTTTTTTTCCCCAAATCTCTCTCCCACTCTCTCTCTCTCCATTTTTATTTGTTTTATATGTTCATGTTGCATCTTTAATTTCTTTAAACATTTCATCTATGGCTACTCTATATTCTGTCCCTGAGGGTCCAAATCTGTTGCCTCTTTCTTCCTGCTGACCCCCACCCACGACGGCTCACCTGCTTGTGCTTCGGTAAGTTCCGTACTGAAGCCGGCTGCTCCATCTCACTCTGCGGCTTCCCTCCCGGCTCAGTCCGGGGAAGTGGCCTCCACGCTGAGTTTGCTGCTCCTTTGCCAGTAGCAGAGGGCACCTCAGTCCCCTCGAGGAGTTTTGTCTCAGAGGAGGCTCAATTTCCCATCTTGCCCACCCCGGACTCTCCCAAGTTTCTCTATCACCAAATGGAAAAATCGCTACAGGACTCTGGCCTGGGAACCAGCCAGTCCGGGCTGCTCCCTGACACTCCCGCAGTCGCGACTCCAGCAGCCCTGGGTTCATTCTCCAGATCCCTCTGCCGGAACCTGGGCTCCTGGCCACACTATCCCCTCACTGTCCTTTATTTTTCCTCACAGCACATATCACCACCTGCCATCTCTTATGTCTGTCAAATTGCTTATTGTATGATACACACACACACACACACACACACACACACACACACACATGCTAGAATGTGTTGACTTCATTTATATATCCTCAGCAACTAGTGCAGTGCCTGGATATAGTGAGTGTTTAGCAATTATTACAGATGAATGAATGAATGAGCAAATGAGACACAGCGCCTGTCTCCAAGATGCTCTCAAATCTGGCAGCTGAGACAGACAAAGACAGTCATAATACAGAGAAATAAGTTCCGTCGTGGGGGAAGGAAGGGGATGATGGAACTGAAAGAAGGTCCCACCCCAGATTTGGAGGCTGGGGACCACTTCCCAGTCCAGATTGAGGGGGATGGGGATGTGCAAAGCTGGGGCTTTAAGGATGTTCCACAAATGAAAGGCACAGCCCGAAGATGAGCAAGAAGCCACTCAGGGAACTGAAAGTGGTTCAGTGTGGCAGGATGGAGGAGGATGAGGAAGGGGCTGGGGAGACGGGCTGGAGAGGAGGGCACAGGCCGGACCCCCTGGGCCTTCCAAGCTCCTGTGGAGTTTAGCAATGAAGAAGGGAGGGTGTGGAAGGGTTTCAGCAGGGGAGCACGTGGTCAGGCTGTAGGGCAGAAAACTCTCTCTGGCTGCTACGTGAAGTTGGAACCGAGAGTGGGGAGGCAAGGAGGCCCGTGCAGAGGCTGTGTAGGGGATGGAGGCTAGTTCTGCACCAAGGCTGATAGCAGGGATGGGGGCACCCCAAGGCAGACCCCTTGGGGCTTCCGGTGGTGGCTCTGGCTGGCAGTACAACCAGGGAGAGGACAGGCCTCAAGGTGAGTCAGCTGTAAACGGTGGGGCTCATTCGGCAGGCAGAGGCTGCTCCGTCGGCAGAGGCTGGGTTGATTTGAAGGGTGAAGAGCCCACCGCCTGGACTCCTGAGCCGATGCTCTTTTCAACTAGGGTTGCCAGGGTTAGCAAAAGTAAAAATAGATAAACAAACATATAGGATGCACAGCTAAATTTGAGTTTCGTATAAACCAAGAATAATTTTCTAGTATGTCTCCAAAATTGGGCATCTTATATTTTCTCTGGCAACCGTACTTCCAACAACCCCCCATAAACACACACACACATCCCTTCTGCAATAACAGTAACAAAGGGACACAGAAACCCCCTCATCTGTGGCCCCTCTGACATCTACTTGTCATCCCTTCACCAGGTGCCTCCAGAGTCCTTGGCCCTGGACCGCAGCCCCAGACTGCACCCGCCTCCATCTCCCCCCTAGTGTGGAAGTCTCCAAGAGCTGGCCCATCTGGGCTAGGCCGGGGACTCTGCTGGGAGCGGGAGGAGGGTGGGAGGGGCCCTGTCTCCGTCAGTCCCTCCTCCACGCCCGGGTGAGGCATTTCCAGGAGGTGGTCCCTGCCCAGAGCCTGGACCTCAAGGGGGCTCAGGGCCACAAGCTTGGGGCTGGTTCCTGGAACCACCAGACTCATCCCATGTCACTGTGGCCACATCCTCCCTTGGGCAGCCCTGGGCTTGGTGGGGTCTAAGAGGCCAGGTCCTGGCCTGGGGGACTGCAAGCACTGTGCCACTCTCCCTGGAGCTGCCCAAGAGCTAAAGGTTCCCAGGGTCCCTCAGCACCCCCATTAGCACGGGGACCCACCCAAGGCCCAGGGAGCCTGGTGTAACTCTGGGCTGGGCTAAGCCAGGGGTGCTCAAATGGGCGCTCACATCACCCTGACAGGGGCCGGGGGAGGCTCTGCCTGCAGTCAGCGTGGGAAAGAGGCCGCTCTGGGGAAAGAAACTGAGGCACGGTGGGATGTGTCCAAGGAGGAGCTGGTCCTACAAGGTTGAGCAGACCTGGGCCTGGGGCTTAGACAGGTGGCCTCTGAGACTCAGGTGACACTCTTAGTAATAATAGCAAAAATACTAATGATAACGATAGTAACCATTTATTGAGCACTTACTCTGTGCCAAGCCTCTTTATATGGATTCTTCTATTTCATCTTCAAAATGGGTCTGCTATTGCCTTCATTTTACAGACAGGAAAACTAAGGCACAGAGAGGTTGAGTAACTTGTCCACAGTCACACAGCTAGCAAGTGGCAGAGCTGGCATGTGAACCCAGGCAGTCTGGCTTCGGAGCCTGCACCACTCAGCACCTCGTGAAAAGCTATTTGCATCCAGAAATGTACAGAAGGGCAGGCGATGCCCCTGGGAACACTTTTCCCTGGGGGAATCCTATTCCAGTTCCTTCCCTGCGACATTCAAGGTTATAAAATCTGTCTGATGGCCTGGGGCAGGGCCCTGAGAGTCTTGGGGGCTGTGCCTCTGTGGTGCCAGGCATGCCTGGGGCATGGCCCCCGAGGGTGACAGCACACAGCTGCATTGGGGAGAGAGACAAATGGCCCCAGGGGCTCGCCTTTCCTCTGCCGGTCACTCAGCAGGCACCGTCCTGCAGGTAGGGGCATCTGCAGCTGGTGCTTCGTGTCCCCAGTGACTGCAGCAGTTTTGAAGTCGATGGCCTCTGAGCACATGCCAACAACGCCCCCTGGTGTCCATCATTGGAAAAGCACTGGCTTTATGAGTTGTCTCCCACATGTGGCCTGAGCTTGGGATTTAGGACTCACATCCTCACACCTACAGGGGAAATTCAATCCCACCCAATCATCAAACACCCGGGTCACTGGGGCCCAGCTGGCTCAGCTGGAGGGGAAAGAGGCATTCCCCTCTGGCCCTGAGGAAACCCTGTGGGCTCAGCTGCTGGTCTAAGTGGCCTCTAGGGGTCTAGGAGCACTGCAGGAAGAGCTCTGGAAAGGACGGAACTTCCTGATCTTTGGGTGATGGTGGTATTGGAGTTGGACCCTCTGGGCAGAGCTGGACTTCCCAACCTTTGGGGAGGGTGGGCTTGGACTTGGAGTCATCATAATTTAGGGAGTTAAAGGAAAAGAGGCCTCAGGCATGGGCTAGTAAGGTCTCAGACACTGGGTGGGTCTCTATGACCTGGGCTGGGGGCCCCAAGCAGGGATGCTACCTGGCCCTCCCCAGGAGGAAGGTGGCCGGGCCAAGCAGGTGCTTCTGGGGCAGGCTGGTTGAGATCCCGCCCCCTACAGGCAGGTGGAGGTCGTGGGATTCTCATCCCACCCTGACGCTCTCCCTGCTGGTGTCATTCAATCTTTACAAAGCCCCTGGGTGAGGCAGGACCAAGCATTTGCCCCCATGTCACATATATGGAAATTGAGGGTCTGTGAGAAATGACAGGCCCAAGGACATACAGTGAGACTCAGAGCCAGGCCTTGAAATGTGGCCTCCCAGGCCAGTGCTCTGCCCACAGGCCTGGCCAGCTGGGCCCAGGCACCAGGACAAAGTTTGCCACCCCCAGGTGGGCTTGGCCCTGCCGCAGAGCAGAATGTCAGGGGGCGGCAGAGCGATGCCCCGCACTCGGTGCCTGGGGAGGCCACGGAGGTAGAAAAGGCTCCCTGGGGGACACAGTGGCCTCGGGGGTCCAGAAGCAGGCCTGCCACCTTCCCTGGTGGGAGCCAGGGCCTTGGTCTGCAGGCAGCCAGGGAGGCTGGGGCTCCAGGCCAGGAGGCCCTGACTATGGCATCGCTTGGGAGGAGCTGAAGGCCTCCATCTCTGCCTGGGCCTCCGCCTCCGAGCGGTACCTCTGGGAGCAGAACCACAGGAAGAGGAAGAAACCTGCAAGCAGAAGGCGGGTCGGTGGGAGCATCGTGGGGCAGCTCGGGGCCTCCCCAGAACCCGAGACTCCTCGGCCGCAGTGAGCTGGGCCTCCCTGGGGCCCGCGAGTAACTCCCAGACTCTCTTGCCGTCGTCGTGGGCCGGAGAGCGGAGCTTAGGAGCTGGAGGCCCGGCCGCTGGTCCGCAGGGTGCCTTTGCGCACATTAGAAGGCAGCGCCCTTCCCTGGGTGGGTGCAGCCCCTCCCAGTGGGCTAGCGGAGCCGTGGGCTGGCTTTCAGCCCCCACTCACCCTCCACCTTTGGCAGCGAATGTCCCACCAGCCGTCCACCGCCTGCCCCGGGCCTTCCTCCAGGCCACCAGCACCTACCGTAGAGCGAGTTGAAGGTGGTGAAGAGGATCAGCTGGGGCAGCAGGAAGACGCCAAAGGACAAGAAGGCCAAGGCCCAGGTGGTGCCCAGCAGCACGGTGAGGCCCAGCACGGTGACGGTGTCCCGGCAGGCCCGTGCGCCCCGCACCTCCGCCCGCGCCCGCAGCCTGCGCAGGGCCCGCAGCGCCCAGGCCAGCACCACCAGGTTGAAGAGGGACGTGAGGCCGCCGTATCCCATGACCAGGACACGGTGCACCAGGGGGCTCCGCACCCAGCATCTGCAGGGGGAGGGGGGTGGAGAGCCAGGCTCGCTGTGGCTCCGAGGCCAGCCAGGGAGACCAGAGTCACTCGGGCCTCTGGACTGCCTCCGACCTGGCCCGGTGTCCCGGCTCAGACCCCGCTGTTCTCGCCTGACTGCACATGCGGTAAAGCCCCTCGCCCAGCTTTCTGGCCAGGCCACCACAATAGGACACACCTGCCACCTAGATCCCCTTTCTGAAGCCCCGCCTTTCCAGCCACCGCGGTTTCTCTCAGCCTCCATGCTTTTATCCACCTGAAAACTCTTCTCTCTCCTTCCACGGCCAGCCCAGCACCAGCTTGTGCGACCTTCCATCGGATCCTTGGCCTGGGCCCCTTTCCTGGAAACATCCCCTTGCACCCCACCACAGGGCTGTCTCCTTGTCGCCATCTTTGTGCAACGGGACACCCCTCCCCAGGAGACTCTCCCCATCTGGACTGGGCAAACACACTCTTCCCTGAGTTCAGAGCCAGACAGGCCTGACAGTGGCCCAGCCCCGGTCCTTCAGACCTTTGCCTCGCCAGGACACCTTCAAGACAGGTGCCGCCTGTTACCCAGTTGGACACGGTGTCACATGCTTTGCCTGGATGCGCCCGTGTAATCTCCATGACGACCCCATAGGCAGGTGCATAATCATCCCCATCCTACAGATGAGGAAACTGAGGCTCTGGCCCAGGAACACACGCTAGTAAGAGGCAAAGGTGGGAGCTGAAGCCCGGTTGTCTGAGCTCGGAGCCTGTGCCCCAACCGTCACAGTCACCTGCTCAGGTTCCCCTCGTGACCTCCTGCCCCTGCAGCCACAAGGGTCCTCGAACATTATTTCTGGGGTTCACCCAAGTTGAGTATGGTTGTGGGTCATTCATTTTCACTGCTAGATAATATCCTAGCAGTGGCGGCTCTACCACAATTTATTAACCCAGTGTCCTACCTATGGACATTTACATGATTTTCAGGGTTTTTTTTTTATTGTTGTTTGTGTTTAGGAATGCATATATATGCAGTAAGCAATTTTTTAAATGTAGAATAAAAGTCACAAGATCCAGGGTAATCGTCCCCTGAGGGGAGAGGGAAGAGTGAGAAAGACTCAGGGAGAGGCCAGCCCTGAGGGCGGAGTTCTCTAACGTCCCTGCGTCCCTGTCACCGTGCTTCCTGTCTTGCAGATGCGTCACCTAAGCTCTTTGGTCCACGTCACATTATTATACAACAAAATGCGTCTCCAGAGAGTCCTAAGTCACACCTGCTCCGAGACACCGACCCGACCCTCACAGTGAGGGGTTAACTCCACCTCCGCACCCCGTTCTGCTGGGTGGGGCCCGGGCTGGGGGACGGCTCCGGAGCCAGCCTGCCTGACACCAGACCCCTCTGCCACCGGCCAGCTGGGCTCCTTGGGTAGGATTCATAATCTGTCTTTGCCTCCGTTGCCCTGACTGTGGAATGGGGCTGACTCTAGGACCGACCCCGCGTTACGGGGGTCAAGCAGGCTGTACCCAAAGCCTGCCAGAGTCGGGCCCTGGGTGACAGTGAACTTGCGTCAGCCCAGGAAGGAAAAAGCCTCCATGGCCAACTGCTGGTGATGGGCCCGTGGAGGTATCTCAGTCTATGTTTGGCTGTTAGAAATGTTGCATAATATTGATAATAAAAAGCTTAATGTCCTATGGCACAGGGAGACGCAGCAGAGTCTGGCCTGGGCCCCCAGGCCAGAGCCTGGGTGGGCAAGGTGGTCTGCAGGGGAACAGGGTCAAGTGTAGGCCATGCAAGCTTTTTCCTTCCTGGGCTGACGCAAGTTCATTATCGCCGAGGGCCGACTCTGTGGCAGAGCCGGGGCTTGGTCTCAGGCAGGCTGGCTCCAGAGCCTGTCCCCCAGCCCAGGCCTGGGAGCTAGAGGACAGGGGATGGCTGGGTGGCCACGTGTTGCCAGGAGGTGGGAGGCCCAGCTGCCCCAGCCTTGGAAGCTGGTGAGCGGGTGCGGGTGTCCTGGAGCTAGCCGGCCCAGAACACGAGCCTGCCCCTGCAGGGGACCTCCGGGGTCCAGCAGAAGGGACGCGGCGAAGCCCCCTGCAAACCTCCGCCGTCTCAGCCTCAGCTCTCTTTTTGCCCCACAGCCAGTGCCCTGCTTACAGGACGCCCGGTTCCAGCCCCAGGCTCGTGCGCCCCTTCTGCCAGAGCCGCGGAGCCCACCGCGGCCCAAGGGCACTCACATGGACACGTTCTGGAAGGCCGTGCCGTTTTCCTGGCTGCTGGAGATGGTGTAGGGTCCGTACACCGAGCTCTTGACAGCGAGGGGAAGCAGCACCAGGAGGGCCGGGAGCCCTGAAGAGGGGACAAAGGCTTAGGAGGCCCTGAGAGGGGCTGGCCCTCGGTCCCTGGGGCCACCAAGCAGAACTCCACTGGGCCAGGGAGGCGGGGAGGAGGCTGCGCCCCCAGCCCCCGTCACGTGGCCCAGCTTCAGAGCAATCTGCCTGGCGGGCTTGGAGGAGGCCCTTCTCCAAGGGGACGTTAGTGACGCTCTAGGACGGAATGGTGGCGGTGGGGGGCTAAAGGCAGAGGGTTGGGGAACTGGTGAGGGACTAGAAATAAGAAAGAAAGGGGCTAGGAGGTGCAGAGGTGGCGACCAGAAAGGTGACGTAGAAAGTGGCGGTGGGCGTTGACAGGCTGATGGCTGGTGGTCGTGGGGTGGTCCCAGTGAGGAGGCGGAGAAGGAAGAGAGGACAGGAGGGGACAGGGCCCTGCCCGGCTGGAGGAAGAAGGGAGCGCCGCCGCGCGTACCCCAGCCCAGAGCGCAGAGCTTGAGCACGTAGCGGCGGATGTAGATGTTGTAGACGCGCCCAAGGAGCAGGTAGAGGTTGAAGCCTTCGATGGCCATCCAGGAGAGGCAGCTGAGCAGCGCGTAGTGCAGGGTGGCGGCCAGCGCCACGCACGCCGCCCCGGGCACGGTGGGCAGGGCCAGCGCGGGGCTCAGGAGGAAGGCAACGTTCAGGAGCAGCACGGACGTGTGCAGGTTCATGTGGATGCGCGCCGTGGGGTCGCTCTGCTTCCTGTGGACGCAAGCGTGGCCCTCCGTGGCCTGGGGACGCCACCCAGGCAGCGCTACCCGCTGGGCTCATGGATTCACGATGACGGGGAAACTGAGGTTGAGCGGGCGGGGATCCCACAGGCTGTTCTGCCTCCCAGGCCCGGCCCCCTGACAAAGCCCAGCCTCTCGGGGACAAGTGGGGAAGAAGCAGGGGTGCCGAACCGCAGGGGGATGGGCAGGCGGGCCGTGGCAGGGGCATACCTGGCGTGGAAGTGCAGCAGGACCGTGAGCAGCGAGGCCACGATGGAGACGCTGCAGCCCACGAGGGAGATGTACGTGAGAGGCGCCAGCAACTCTGCAGGGACCGGGGCCGGGGAGAGTTGCTGCGGGAGGAAGCGGGGCTGGAGCCCAGAAGCACGGCAACACCCTCCTAGGCTGAGTCGCAGGGACCTCCGGGGTCCTCAGCTCCAAGTCCCCTCCGCCACAAGCCCAGCCACGGTCCTGACTGGAACAAGGCCATGGCAGACAGGGCGACTTTTGCCACCCCTAGCTCCCACCTCCCCTTCCTCTATGCGAACCTCACCTCCCCCACTCCCTATGCACCCCGCAGCAGATGGGAGGACCACAGATTCTCCCACTGTGTGCAGACAGGTGCACCAGGCCTGGCCTATCAGAGCCCTCCCTTCTCCTGCCCATAGTTATTGATGTAGGGTGAGCACGTGGTTAGCAGAATCGGGCAAGAGAAGCTCTCATTCCACTGGCCTGAAAGCTAGTAGGGCATAAGCCTGGAACTGCTGGCAGCCATATTATTATCCCATAAGGAGACCCCATCTGAGGGCTAAGCCAGCACAGAGCAAGCACAGTTGAGGGACAGACATAGATGCTATCTTAGTGATATTGAGCCCCTGGATCAAACCATGCCTGAAGCCCAATCCAGCCTTTTCAGAAACATGAGGCCATAAGGTTTTTTCTTGTTTTGTTTTTGTTGTTTTTTTCGGGGGGGTGGTGGTGTTGCTTAAGCTCATTTGAGTTGGATTTTGTGGCCCTTGCCTCAGCTTTTGCCTTGCTCCTCTTCTACAGACATGGGGTCCTCCGCAGGTCTGAACTCCCTCACCCCGGCTGGATGCGTGCATACCATGAGAACCGCGAAGTAGGTGAGGTGGTTGCAGTGGCAGAGCACCTGGGAAGGTGAGGGCTGCTCTGTACGACAGCCCTCAGAGCTCCAGGCCCCCCAGTGGCGCTTGCTGGCTCCCTCCTTCCAGAAGACACAGGTCACTGTGTAGCCTTCCTGAGGGGAGATGCTGGGGTCAGCCAAAGGGGTGCAAATCGGGGTCTGGGAGTCCTGGGTGCCAAATGTGACTCAACTGCACAGTTGTCAACACTTTACCAGGCCCTGGCTGGGCTTTGGCATCAGGGAGTCCTAGATTCCAGCCCCACCTCCAACATGGACTCTCAGAGTGACCTGGGCAAGTTGCCAAGCTGCTTTGAGCCTCAGTTTATTCATCTGTAAAATGGGATCATTTATACCCAAGGTACAAGAATGGTGGGAAAAGTAAAGGCAACATGGACTCTTGAGTGCTCAGTTCTGGCCTTTTATACAGTAGGTGCTCCATAACCAGCTGTCCTCACCCCTCCTCCCCGTGGGGGACGACGATGGCCCAGGCCCTTGACCAGTGGGGAGAGAGAAACTCACCCACAGACAACCCTGATGCCAAACCATGTGAGCGGAGAGGTGGGGAAACGACACAGACGGTGCCACAGAAAACCACGGAGGAAGGGGCAGGGGTGTCGCAAGGAGTGAAGGGGAGATGGGGGCGCGGAGGCCTGAGAGGGCGTGTTGATTTCAACAGACGTGCTGCAAGGGCATTCCAGGTGGAGGGAACAGCAATGGCGAGAGCCCAGAGTGGTGAAAGGAAAGGATGATGGTGAAGTTCAGAGTCCCGATGAGGCTGAAGGGAAGACAGCCAGAGAGCAGAGGCTCTGGGCTTTGCAGGAATGCCAGGGACAGGGAGCAGCGGCACTGGGGTATGTGCCCCCAAAAGCCCCCTCCCTCGTTCTGCCATCAGTATCTGCACTTCTCTTTGGAATACACTGCTCCACCCCAGTCCCTGGGCCATGTGACCCAGGACTGGCCAACCCACACATGCCATCCCCCTGGGTACAGGGATGGACGCATGACCCTCTGAACCTTTAGGACCCTGGGACCCTGAGTTACAGATGTAGGGAGCAGCCTGCTTGGAAAATGGGACAGAAGTCAGGCACTCCAGCACCCATCCTGCCACAGAATAGAAAGCCAAGGCAGGCGACCATTGCTGAGAGAGGGAGAGAGACTGAGCCATGATGGCAGCGCATCCACTCCTGGATCCAGCCATGCCTGAAGCTGGCCCACTCTTGGACATTTCATGTGAGCTAATAAATTCCGTTTGTGCTTCAGCTGGCTTGAGCTGGTCTTTGAACACTTGCAACTGAAAGAATCCTGACTACTGCAGTGAGTCAAAGCTTTTTCTCTCTTATTTCTATGGTAGGAATTTTCAAAGTGTGATAAATTTAAAACCATTTGTTTCCAAGACAGTTCCATAGTGGCGAGAGCCCAGAGTGGTGAAAGGAAAGGATGATGGTGAAGTTCAGAGTCCCGATGAGGCTGAAGGGAAGACAGCCAGAGAGCAGAGGCTCTGGGCTTTGCAGGAATGCCAGGGACAGGGGGCAGTGGCACTGGGGTATGTGCCCCCAAAAGCCCCCTCCCTCGTTCTGGCATCAGTGTCTGCACTTCCCTTTGGAACACACTGCTCCACCCCAGTCCCTGGGTTTGCATTTTCCATAGGTTTGCATTTGGTCAAAGCAATATTCAGCAGGAGAGCCGCAGAGGGGCAAGGGTGGGTGGAAAGGGGGACACGCCCAACAGTACCAGGCTTTGGTTGTGCCAGAAGCTGATGTTGACCGGATCTGTCAGGTTGTTCACATGTCCGTGGCTCAGCCGGGCCCCCAGGACGTAGTTATTGAGCAGAGAGGAGTTGTTGTCATCCTGGAAGGGCAGCAGGAGAGGGGCTGAGTGGAGGGGACACGGGGAGACCCTGCATGAGGTCCGAGTCCCTCCTCCCTGGACAAGAACAGGCAGCATGACTTCCACGCATGTAGCGTGGGCCGGCCACCCGGCCTCTGCCTACCCAACCCGGCTCCATCGCCCATTGGCTTAATGTGTCCCAGCCTCGTGCCCTCCGCCTCCCCGCTATCTTCACTCACTGTCAGAGCCAAGGTTGACAGGCGCCTTCTCCAGCAGCCCTCCTGGACTGCCACTGGGAACGCCCGGACCACACCCTGACTTGTGCATTTCTCTGTCTCTATTGCCAGGATCAACCTTGCACTAACACTAAATCTCTAAGGTCCTTGTCTAAGCATCGAGAGAGGGAATTCTCTAAGGGCAGGGACCTTGTGCCTTCTTGTCTGTGTCCCGCCTAGGGACGAGCACATAGTAGGTTTGTTAGATCGCATTTCCAGATTGCAATTGTGCCTTCCTACCATTCTGCTAAAGCTGGTAGGGAAACTGAGGCCAGAGAGGCACAATGGCTGGCTCGGACTATGCAGTGGGCTAGTCCCATGTGGTGCTGGTCCCTACCCAGAGGCCAGGCAGTGGCATGGACGATGCCTGCAGTGCCCCTGAGAAGGGGCCAGGGACCACCCTCCTTGGCCCGCCGTCGCGCTGACCTTGAAAAAGGAGTCTGTGAAGAAGTAGACACAGATGAGCCGCAGCTCCCTGGGGCCGGTCCTGCAGGCGTCCCGGGTCAGCTCAGCGGGGAACTGCATGGCGTGGTGGTCCCGGGCCTGCCCAGGGCCACGGACAGGCTGAGCCTGGTGTCCAGGGTCTGCGGACGTGACCCCTACGCCTTCGCTGCCCCCCACTCCCCACGCAACCTTCCCACCCTTACCCTGCTAGGTGGTTCCTTCCTCCAAGCCTCCAGCTGCAGAACCCTCTCCTCCCAGGCGGCCCCTCCTCCCAAACTTCCCAGCCCCCAGGCCTTCCCTCCAGGCTTGAATGTGGGGTATTCACCCCACTCTGCTGGGGCCCCTGAGGATGGAGCCATCTCAGCGCCGGGCACCAGCCCCAGCCAGGCAGCCTCCGGGATTGCACCAGGGTCCTAAAAAGAGCCCAGATTCCCTGGTCTCGCCCACCGCTGCCTCCCCCAGGAAGCTCCTCCAGCCAAAGCAGGAAGAAGACACTGTCCTTGAAGGGCCACGAAGCGCCTCCCTTTCTGCTATTCACACAAGGGCAACTCACAGCCAGTTGGGACACAGCCTAGGTTGGGGGGTATGGGGAGGGGGCAGCAGAGCCTGAGGAAAGGCCAGACCTCAAACCCCTGGAGGGCTTCTAGGATGGAAGCAGCTGGCCCCTGAACCCTGACCCCCACCCGCTCCGCCCCTAACCTGGGGAACCGGCTTCAGAGCGGCGCTGCTCAGCGACAGACCCGCAAAGTCACAGCCCAGCTTGAAGGCCAGAGACTGGATGGTGCTGGTCTGCAAGGTCAGGTTGTAGCCCCCGAGGCTGACGTTCAGCAGCCTCTGCTCCAGGATGTGCACTTGCCTGAGGGCGGGAGGAAAGATGGCCAGGTAGGGCAGAGCCAGGGCAGGGGGCTCTAGACAGCCTGGGGGAGCAGGGCCTCCCCATCCCACACTCGTCACTCCCAGCTCCAGACCTTTGCACACACAGTGTCCCTGGCACACTCTCACCTCCCCATCCCACCCCCACCATCCCCTTCTTCCAGTTAACTCTTGTTTAGGGCCCAGTTTGTTGTCACCTCCTCCAGGAAGCTTTCCATGACTGCTCCCCCCAACTGAGTGAAGAGTATCTGTGTTTCCCAGTTGCAGTTCTTAGCCCTGACCAGTCATCAGCACTGGCCTCTCACCCAGAGTTGCTTGGTCCTTGGGTCACAGACCCTGGAGAGCCCAGCCAGAGTCTCAGAGCCCTTCCCAGGAAAATGCACAGAGACCCACGATCCTGCACCTAGTTTCATGGCATCCATGACTAGGGGTCCCCACCCTAGATAATACACTCCATGAGGGCAGTGACATGTTTATCCTGCGTCCCGAGAGCCTTGTGTCGGGTATGCAGTAGGTACTCAATAAACATGTGCGGAAAAATGAACAGTTAAGAGTCTACACTGGACCAACCCTGGACCGCTGACTCAGGGTGCAGGCTTGGGGTGGGAGGCACAGCTGACCCCAAGCAGGAGAGGAAGTCACCCGACTCACTGAGCAAGAGAGGGGGTGGTGCTGCGGCCCCTGGGGGGCCCCTCCATCTTCTCCATCCAGCGCAGAAGTTCTTGCGACGCCTCTGTGAGAGCAAGAGTCACACCTCCCCTCCAGCTGTCCCCTGGCCCCCGGCCTCTGAGACTTCTAGTTCACCAGCAGTTCCTGCCACCCCCAGGAAGCCGAAGTGTCCCCTTCCAATCTCCCTTGTTTTGAAGCCTCCGCCTTTCGCATCGCAGCCGTGGCGGGGGCCAGGGTGCCCCCAGGGCAGCGGAGCCCTCTTACCTGCTGTCACGTTCTGAAAAGTCTGAAGGCACAGGCAGAAGAAAAGCACCCCCCAGCGATCCATGCCCTGTGCCCGGGTCTCCTCCGAGGACTGGCTCCTGCCCTGCAAAAGGTGCATGCCGTCATCCTAGCGGCAAAAGAGCCACCTCTAACTTCTAGGCACCTGGCAGGTCCCAAGGGCAGGACAGGCAGCCTTATTTGATCCTCACTACTCCTGCCCTTCACAGAGGAGGAAACTGAGGCTCGGAGGGCAAAGGGTCTTGCTTTGCTTGAAGCTGCCTGAAGCCAGGTCTCCGTGACTCCGGAATCCTCCACCATGAAATAACGGTGCCATTAGCTCTGCCTGAGACGCTCCCTCTCCCAGAAAGCGGTCCCTGTGGGGGCTCCCTCAGGGCCCTGACCTTACCCAGGGGGACGCTGCCTGGGAGCCAGCAACATGTGACCCCGTCCAGCCCTGTCATTAACTCTCCATGTGGCTTTAGGTAAAAAAGTCTGTTTCTCTCCGCCCTCATTTTTCTTGGTTTCAAAATGAACTAATAAACTTCTGCTTAAATATAGCAAATTTATGTCTGCCCCCCGAAACCCCACTGAAATGAGAATGAATAGATAAAATAGGCTCAAAGCCACAAAGACGGCGCAATGGGAAAGAAGACCAGAGAGGGGAGATAGCGACAAAATTTTGGAAGCTACAAAGCAGGTGGCCCCCTGGGAAGAAATTTACCAGACCATGAAAAGTTGAACCCAAGTGCCCACAGTGGGGAGAGGTGTGGAGTCGAGGAAGAGGAGGGGAGGACGAGGAGAAGCCTCATAGCCTTGGAAGCACCTGAGAACTGGAGGCACCAGGACCCTCTGAAGTGCAGATGAAGGATGAGGCCAAAAACAGAGGATCGTTGGTTGTCAGTGTTTAAAATGTCCAACTCAGTCCCCAGATCTCCTCTGTCACCGGGGTGCTCAGGAGCCTCGTCACCACCCTGCCATCCCCAATCCTGCTGCAACAGAAAGTTCACTCCCTGGAGAAGGGGTAGCATAGACAATCGGGGTGGCGGGGATTAAGTGATACCCCCTTCCCACTTCCTCCCCTACTCAGCTTCCAGAAGGCTGCAGCAGCCAGAGTTATGCCGCAAGACAGGAGAAAAGTCTTCTCTGAAGAACTGACCACTCCAAGAAAAGTATTCCTATAGCTAGTGACATTTTGATGTTCCTCAACGTAATGGCCAAGACTTAACTTACCGTGAAGCTTCACCAAACCCCCTGAAGCAATTAAGTTTTCAATGCTCCGCTCTTAAAGATGAATGGTCAACCAAGGATTACTGGGTATTTTAAAACACGCACCCCTTCTCGGGAAGCTGCTGCAGGATGTGCTCCAACAAAATGAGGCAGTAAATCATGAAAGAAGACACAGAGTACAGGAAACCCCACCGGGGGAGAGGTGAAGCTACTGCCCAGAAAACGTGTGATGGAAAGGCCCAGGTTAATGGTTGAACAGCCAGACTACGCACTTCCCATCCAGAGGGAGCAGGAGAAAAGAAAGCTCCAGAAGGAAGGTCTTGATGAAAAAAAGAAAGAGGAGGAAAAGGAGAATATACAGACTGACAGGTTTGAGCATGTGGAAAAATTATTTCCAAAGATGTCTTACAGAAAGCTTGCAAATAAAAAAGAAGCAACTAATTTCAAGATAAGCAAGTTGTATAAGTAAGAAAATGTCATCTTCCTACACTACCTGCTTTAATATGGAATAATATTTATATAGTCATAATAGAAATGTTAAACAGGAGATTTATTTTTGAAATTGTGTAAAAACCATATTAAAATGATTTTCACTTCCACTTAGAATGCTGAAAGCCACAAGGGAACATCACTCCCTTCATGACAATGGAAAAAGCCAAATAATGTACAAAATCAATTTTTTTAACTGAAGGCAGAGCTGAGGTCACAAGGTAACCAAGTAAACTTGTTTCTAATGGCAATTGGGACACACTACCTTTGATAGATAAAACACGTGGATACAGCATGGAGGAGTAAGTAATTGCCACAAAAATAGGTAAGAAGAAAACAACTGTATCTTAATGAATTCTTAATGGCTGAACATGAGCTAGAGTGGCAGTTTAGAATCCCTGGGAGACTGTGCCCCCAGACAGCTTCTTCCCACAGTGCTCCGCGGGATGCTCATGAGAATGATTGGGGGCGGGGCAGGATCAGAGCCAGGCCCCATGGTGACACAGCGCCCCCATGGTGACACAGGCATGCCGGACCTGCCAAGGTTTCAGGGTGCAACAGAAGTACCTGGAGAAGCCTGTCTGAGCTCTGGGCATAAAGACAAGGTGGTAATTGGCTCCTGCTGAGAGACTGATATCTGCCTCCTGGCCTCACTTTGATGCAAGACTTCCATCCCTCCATCCCTCCATCCCTGACCTGCTACCAGGCAAGTGTCTACAGCCTCTGGTGGAGGAGTAGAAATCCTCCCAGACCACCCTTGCACTGATACTAAGCAAAAGCCATCTGACACTGGCCAGGAACAGGAAACTCAGGAATGCCCAGGATTCCGCACTGATATGTGGCAGAGGGCGGCGGCTGCTGCTGCTGCTGGGAGAAGAACAGAAACCTCCCTCATACTCAAGATCCCCCCATCAGTAAGGCACAGCTTGGCTCCCACGGGCGTGAAGGGCAAGACTCTCACACCTGCACTGAATAGGAGGCAGAGACTATCAGAAACCAGAAGAAAAACAGGAACACTACGAAATCCTCACTCCTGCGGCTCATGCTCAGGACTTCTTCAGGTGGGCAAGGAGGTACAGAACTCATTGCCACCAGATCTGCACTAAAAGAAACACCAAAGGCAGTTCTTAGGGCAGAAGGAACATTATACCAAATGGAACTTCGGATTTACACAATGAAATGAAGAGTATTAGAATTTGTAAACGTGTGTCAACTATAAAAATTAATGTCCTTAGTTTTAATTAATATCTATGATGTTTTGTGGGGATCATAATATATGTAGAAGCAAAAATGTAACACGAAAATAACACAAAGGGCAGGAGGGAGGAAATGGACGTATTCAGCTGTAAAGTTCTTACACTCTATTTTATAGTGCCGTAATATTATCTGAAAGTCAATTGTGGAAAGCTAAATACGTATATTGTAAACCATGCGCAGCTCCTTGTAAGGCCGAGGCAGGAGGATCACTTGAGTCCAGGAATTCAAGGTTACAACGAACTGTAATCTCATTCCAGTAGAGAGAAAAAAGTGGGATAGGAAAAACAGACAAATGAAACTTTTTAAAAAGGGGAGGGCAAGGAAAGAGGAAAAAAACAAAAAAGGTGGGACTAATAGAAATCCAAGAACAAGATAGTACAAACATATCCAAATACATCAATAATTATAGTAAATATAAATGGACTAAACTGACCACAGGAAATTAAACTAGAAATCAAAAACATAAAGATGCCTAGAAATTCCCCCAAAGATTTGGGAATTAAATAATACACTATTAAGTAACCCATGAGTCAAAGACAAAATCACAAGGGAAATCATAAAATATTTTCAACTGAATAAAAATGAAAATACAACACAATACAACAATATTTGTGGGATGCAGCTAAAGCAATGCTTAGAGAAAAATTCACAGCATGAAATGCTTATATTAGGAAAGATAAAGGATTTCAAGTCAATGATGTCAGCTTCCCCACATTAACAAATATAAAAAGAAGAGAAAATTAAGCCCAAAATAAAAAGAAGGAAGAAAATAATAAAGGACGAGTATAGATCAATGAAATAGAAAAGGAATAGAGGAAAATCAATGAAACCAAAATCTGGTTACTTGAAAACCTCAATAATGTTGATAAATCTCTAGCCAGAATGATCAAGAAAAAAAAAAAAAAGGAAAGTACAATGACCAATAGCAGCAATAAAAGAAGGGAATCACAGAATCTACAGACATTAAAAAGATAAGGGAATAATATTAACAGTTTATGCCAACAAATTATATAACTTAGATGAAATGGGAGAATTTCATGAAAGACACAAACTGCCAAAGCTTACTCAAGAAAACACTGGATAATGGAAATAGCCCTTAATGTATTAAAGGAATTAAGTTTGAAGTTTAAAAACGTTTCCTCAAAGAAAATAGGCCCAGATGGCTTCCCTGGTTAATTCTTCCGAACATTTAATAAGTGATAGTTCCAATGCTACAGAAAGTCTTACAAAAAACAGAAGACAAAAAAGGTAATAATAACAATTCTAAACATATTCCTTCAGAAAATAATGGGAAGAATGCTTCCAAAGTCATTTTATGAGGACACTATCGACATAGTACCAAAACTGGCCACAGACATTACAAGTACAAACGAATGTCGCTCATGACTATAGATCCAATCTCAATCAAAATCACTGCAGAATATTTTGTAGAAATGGGCAAGCTGATTCTAAAATTTATATGTGAAAGCGAAGGATCTAGAATAGCGAAAACAATTTTGAAAAAGAACCAAGTCAGAGGACTCACACTGTCTGATTTCAAGGCTTACTCTAAAGCTACGATAATCAAGACAGTGTGTTATTGGCGTACAGATAGACATGGAGACGAAAGGAAAGGAATAGAGTATCCAAAATTGTACCCACGTATTAAATTTTGTAAATTAATTTTTGACAAAGATGCAAAGGTAATTCAATATAGAGAGGGTAATCTTTTCAACAATTACTTCTGGAACAATTAGGTATTCTGTGCCCCCCCCCAAAAAAGAACTTGGATCCGTATCTTGCAGCATATATGAAATTTAACTCAAAATGCATCGCAGATTCGAATGTCAAAATTAAAACCACACAGGCATATCTCATTTTATTGTTCTTTTTACAAATGGAAGCTTGTGGCAACCCCGTGTCAAGCAAATCTGTCTGCATCATTTTTCCAACAGTGTGTGCTCACTTCACGTCTCTGTGCCACATTTTGGTAATTCTCACGTTATTTCAAACTTTTTCATTATTATTATATCTGCTATGGTGATCTGTGATCAGTGATCTTTGATGTTACTTTTGCAATTGTTTGGGGGCACCATGAACGGCACTCGTATC